ATTCTGGCTCTTTGGCACCGACGGGGCCCAGATCGGCTTGGCGCTCCGTCCGCTCGACGGCGGCGGGGTGATCAACTTTTGGCTCCGGCAAGCCAAAGTGACCGTCGCCGGCAACCCGGAGGTCCGAGAGCGGCTCCTCGAAGCAGTGCTTGCGTGGACCGTCCCCTGGGCTGGGAACCAGCCCCCGCCCCGCGCCGCGGCGGCGCCTCCGCCCGCGCCCGGCGCTCTGGGCGCGCCGCCCGCGCTGGCCCTCCACGCTCCTGCTGCCGCCACGGGCCTGGCCGCCGCTGCCCCTCCGACGGCTGCTGCTGCTGCCACCCCGGCCGGGGCCTCCCGCCGCCGCCGCCGCCGCCGCCGCCGCCTTCGCCGCCTCCGCCGCCGCCGCCGCCGTCGCCGCCGCCGCCGCTGCTGCCGCCGCCGCCGCCGCCGCCGTCTCCGCCTGTCGTCGTCGTCGTCGTCGTCGTCGTCGTCGTCGTCGTCGTCGTCGTCGTCGTCGTCGTCGTCGTCGTCGTCGTCGTCGTCGTCGTCGTCGTCGTCGTCGTCGTCGTCGTCGTCGTCGTCGTCGCCCTGAGGCTGCGGGGGCGCCCCCGGCCGCTGCCTCCCGCCGCCGCCGCCGCCGCCGCCCCCGCCTGAGCTCCTCCTGCCGCTCCAGGAGCGCAGAGCGCGGCCGCCGGCCCCGGGGCTAGCCGCGCGCGCGCCGGGAACTCGCTCCCTTTTTCCCACCCGCGCGGGCCCTTCTGGTAAATGGGCGCTGCGTGTCCCTTGGCTGTCGTCGTCGTCGTCGCTGTTTTCGCCGCCGCTGTCGCCGTCGTTGTCGTCTTCGTCGCCGTCGCCTTCGTCTTCGTCGCCCTCGCCGTCGTCGTCGTCGTGTCCGTTGCTTCTCGTCGGCGTCGCCCTCGTCGTCTCCTGTCGTCGCCGTCGTCCTGTCGCTCTCCCGGCTGCCCCCTCCCCGGGGCGTCTCCTCCCGCCGCCCTCCTCCCTCTCCCCTTTTCCCTCGCCTGGCTGGTGGTGGTGGAGCTGTGGCGGGGTGGGGGAGGACGACGAGGATCCCTGGTTCGATGCGGCCAGTTGGCAACGCGCGCACTTGCGCTCGCGCACTGGCGCTCCGCCGTTTGGTGGCGTGGCGGGCGCGGCTCCCAGGGGGCCCCTACAACTGTCTCGCGTGAAGCGACGCCCGGCCCCCCTGGGAGCGGGCACGCGCGCCGGGCGCTCGCCCCGCTGCCAGCGCCCTACTCGGGACTGCGCATGCCTGCCCTTTGCCCGGGGCTTCGGCACCAACGCGCCCCACTTGGGTGCGCCTCAACCAGAACCATAACCAGGGGGGGGAGGAGGAGGAGGAGGAGGAGGAGGAGGAGGAAGAGGAGGAGGAGGAGGAGGAGGAGGAGGAGGAGGAGGAGGAGGAGGAGGAGGGGAGGGGGGGGGGAGGGGGGGGAGGAGGAGGAGGAGGAGGAGGGAGGAGGAGGGAGGAGCAGGAGCAGGAGGAGGAGGAGGAGGAGGAGGAGGAGGAGGAGGAGGAGGAGGAGGAGGAGGAGGAGGAGGAGGAGGAGGAGGAGGAGGAGGAGGACGGGTGGGGCGAGGTTGGGGAGTGAAAAGGAGAGGGCCTTCTCGGAAGGCGGCCGGACTTCTTGGAAGCCCTCGCGCCTTCCGAGAGGTTTTCGGTGTCTTCGGGGGAGGCTCAGGATGCTTTTCAAAAGGCCGGGGGACTTCCCCCCATTCTGAGCAGAAGCGACGGCGGCGCTGGAACCCCCTGGCGGTGCCTGCAGCGCCGCCCCTGGCGCGCTCCACGCGCAAGGGAGGAGGGCCCAGTTCCGATTCAAGAGATCCGCTTAACGTTTATGCCTGTTCAGATTATTATCCTTCTTCTGTCCTCGCTGCCTTTGGCTTGTTTCCGCTTTTTATAGGTCCTCGCGGTATACATTTTGGTCAAGTCCAGAGTGTTCACGTCTAGTCAGGTTTAATCCCACTTGATCTAGATCAAACGGATGATGATCCAACCTACTACCGTCCTTCCAAGTACCGAAACAGGAGGGTTTTCACGTGTCGGACCCTGGGAGGCGATACTCGCTCGACACCGTTTCGATATTTTTCCGGGTGCTCGACATTATTTCCGGGATGTCGTCCTTTGGTGCGATGGGAACAGCATAATATTAATCCCGGGCTCAATCCGCCTCCGCCTCCGCCTCCGCCTCCGCCGCCGCCTCCTCCTCCTCCTCCTTTTCCGCCTCCTCCTCCTCCTCTTCCGCCTCCTCACCCTCCTCCTCCTCCTCCTCCTCCTCCTCCTCCTGCTCCTCCTCCTCCTCTTCCGCCTCTTCTTCCTCCTCTTCCTCCTCCTCTTCCTCCTCCTCCTCCTCCTCCTCCTCCTCCTCCTCCTCCCTCCGGCTTGATGGCCCCTCGCTCGGTCTCAAGCGCCCCTCGTCTTTCCTGTGGAGGCCTCGCACGAGTGCTCTCCGGCCTCTCCCGATGGCCCCGAGGCGCGTGCGCACCTACGAGCAGTTCCAGGCCCCGCGGGCAGTCCTGCTGCTGCCGGGCGGGGTTAGGATTCAGTCGGGCCTGTCTTTCTACCGGGAGCGGAAAAGAGGGGGGTGATGACTAGGGTGGGGGGTGGATTTCATGGCGCGGGCAATGATTTTTCCTCAGATTTCATGGCGCCTCTTCTTATTTCATTACGTCCCAGGCCCCCCCGCTGGGCCGCGCACGCGCCGCCGGTCATGATTTGCACCCCCCTCTTGGACACCCCCCTCTTGGCCGCTCCCGACTTCTACAGGAGGAATGTTCAAACACAGTCAGAACATAGTCAGGGGATCTTTCCGATTGTTTTTGGCCGTTCTGATATTTTTTTGATCATGTTTACTTTTCCTCCAACGTCCGCCTGTAGGGGGACATGCCCGACCGAAGGCTAGAACGAGGATAAACCCGCTTCAGAGCGTTCCGGAACGCTCTGAGAAGGCCGCGGCGCCCGAGGCATCCTCCAGAGCCGCCGGATCTCAGAGATTCTGGATTTGCAGTGGAGGACCATGCCAAAAAACACCCTGCTCGCCTCCAGGGTGCCCTGGGTTTCTTGCGTTTCGATGGTTCTGCCACGGAAGGCGTGGCGTTCCCGCACCAAAGGTCCACGGTTGTCCTGGGGTCTCAGGGTTGGCCCTCTTGTGGAAGGCTTCTCGTGTTCGAGCTCCTGCTGTATCCTCGCCCGATTTTGTTCAGGAGGGAAAGAAACACACAGACATAACTAATCGGCGATTCCCCAGAAAATATGGGAACATATGGGAAGTGGGGGGGAAGACAGAACCCCAGAAAACGTTGGACATTTTTTATTTGTGTGTATCTATTTGTGTGTCCCTTGGGCCCCTTCGTTTGTCCTCGTCCTGGCTTCGCCTCGTGCTGTTGCGCCGCGGCCGCGCGGGCGGCGCCCTCTTGCGGGCCTCGCCCGCTCTCCCTCGGTGGCCGCGTGGCGTCGGGCGCCGCCGCGCGTCCCTCGGGCCGCGGAGGAGGAGGCGGGAACGACCCGGGTCAGCCCGAGTGGCGTCATCGAGGAGGAGGGGGAGGAGGCCGAGGTGGCGGGAAGCGGAGGCGGAGGAGGACCCGTGTAGAACCCACGGGAGAAGGACGAGGAGGAGGAGGAGGACGATGAGGAGGAGGGATGATGAGGAGGAGGAGGGACGATGAGGAGGAGGGATGATGATGAGGAGGACGAGGAGGAGGAGGTGGATGAGGAGGATAATGAGGAGGAGGAGGAGGACGAGGTGGAGGGAAGTGGGGGAGGAGGAGGAGGACCCGTGCAAAGCCAGGACGCATTGGAGATGTTGCAACAGGTCCTCCCTCCGGGTTCCCTCTTCATCGGTCCCTACAGGAACCTGTTTTCATTGCGGGAAGTACCCCAGTGAATACCACCATGCCAATAACCTTCAATAAACACGATCCTTGAACTTCAACGCCGCGAATCACAGTGACCGTTGCGTCCTGACAATCATAGACCGTGCCCGAGCGCTGTTCCTCGGGCTTCAACACATCGAATCAACGTGACTGTTGCGTCCTGACCGTCACAAGTCGTGCCAGAATGCCATTCCTGGGCCTTCAGCAATACGAGCCCCCGAAGCTGCTGCAGAAATTTCGAACGACTGTGCGCGGCGCCAGGGTGCGAACCACATCCCGAAGCGGGTGCGCCCTCCGTCCGTGAGGCGGATGGCAAGCTTTTGAGACGAGTGTGCACGGCGCTAAGGCGAGGGCCGCACTTTGAAAATTCCCCCCCTTCCATCGTCGGACCTCTTCCCCGCTCTGGGCCGAGCCAGATGCTCGTGCGGCGGGCGGGCGGGGAGGGCGAGAGGCTCGAGTCGGATCGGAGGTCCGCGAAGGGGCCTCACCGAGGAGCCGCTGCCGGGTGCGTGCGGCCTCCCACCAGTCGAGCTTGATCGGCAGGGCGACCATTCCAAACCAGAGGTGCCCTTGTCACATGTCTGCTGCGTTCCTGGGGCAGGGGCGCCCCAGCTTGGAGGCCATGTTCCCCTCGAGAAGTCTTGTGTCCTCTCTAATCAAAGAAGTAAGTCGACTGTATCCAGCTGCCTGCGGCAAGACCCGCCACCGTGCCAGCCCAGCGTTCTAGGTGGGGACTGTTCGAGGGAGCGTTGGAGGCCGTCACGCGTGACACCTCGTGCCTCCAGATTTGAGAGAGCCGTGATGATGATGATGCTGTTGAGGATGATGATGCTGATACTGATGCTGATGCTGCTGATGTTGCTGATGTTGCCGATGATGATGATGATGATGATGATGATGATGATGATGATGATGGTGATGATGCTGATGCTGATGCTGATGCTGATGCTGATGATGATGAGGATGATGATGGCGATGCTGATGGGGATAATGACTGTGATGACGGATCTGATGCTGCTTCTGCTGATGATGCTGATGCTGATGATGATGATGATGATCATGGTGGCGATGCTGATGTTGATGATGCTGATGATGATGACGATCTTATGATCATGATGCTGCTGCTGATGATGATGATGAGGATGTTGATGATGATGACGATGGTGATGATACTGATGATGATGATGGTGATGATGATGCTGATGCTGCTGCTGCTGATGGTGGTCGCGGTGATGATGATGATGATGATGATGGTGGTGGTGGTGGTGGCGACGGTGCTGATGATGATGATGGTGGTGGTGGTGGTGATGAGGATAGTGCTGACTGCTGCTGCTGTCGACGATGACGAGGATGATGATGATGCTGATGCTGATGCTGATGATGGTGGTGATGCTGCTGATGATGATGCTGATGATTCTGATGGTGATGCTGATGATGATGCTGATGATGCGGATGATGATGCTGTTGATGATGATTATGATGATAATGCTGCTGATGATGATGGTGACGGTGATTATTATTATTATGATAATGAGGCTGATGAGGTTGATGATGATGATGCTGATGCTGATGCTGTTGCTGATGATGATGGTGAGGATGATGATGATGATGATGATGACGACGACGACGATGATGATGATGATGATGATGATGTTGATGATGATTATGATGATGACGATGATGCTGATGATTATGATGTTGCTGATGCTGCTGATGATGATTATGATGACGATGACGACGATGATGATGGTGATGATGCTGATGACGCTGATTATGATTATTATGATGATGATGCTGCTGATGAGGATGATGATGATGCTGATGCTGATGCTGATGCTGCTGATGATGATGCTGCTGATGATGATATGATGATGCTGCTGATGATGATGATGATGATGATGCTGCTGCTGCTGATGATGATGATGATGAGATGATGATGCTGCTGATGATGATGATGATGATGATGATGATGATGATGATGATGATGATGATGATGAGGATGATGAGATGATGATGATGATGATGATGATGATGATGATGATGATGATGATGATGATGATGATGATGATGATGATGATGATGATGATGATGATGATGATGATGATGATGATGATGATGATGATGATGATGATGATGATGATGATGATGATGATGATGATGATGATGCAGGTAGTTTGCGCCGTCTTGAGGCTCTCTTGGGAGGCAGTCTTGGGGGTCCTTGGGGCCCTCTTTGGCCGTCTAGGGGCCCTACTACGCCGGCTTGGGGCCCTCTTGGCCGTACGGTGGGTGTCTATGGGCCTTCGTGGGGCCGTCTTTACGCCGTTGTGGGCCGTCGAAGGGCCTTCATAGGCCGTCTTAGATCCCACGGCAGGCCCACCTGGGCCGTCTTGGGGCCGTCTTGGAGGCAGCGGATCCGAGCATCCGCTGCGCAGGAGGCGCTCTGCACACCGCCGCCGTGCCTGGCCAGGACCGCTCTTGGCGCTTGCGCGGTGTCTGCCGATGCACCGTCATACCATTAGGGGAACGAATCATGGCGTAAGCATAAAAACTCGGAGGTCCGCGCGGATTTCTCGGATCCGCGCTGGACCCCCAACACGGGAGGCCCGCTTGTGCGCCTCTTGGACCATTGTGGAGTCCTTTTGGGCCGTCTTGAGCTGACGGCAGCCCGAATAGGCGAGATTGCGGAAACCATTCAGAGCTCAAGTGAAACAGCTGATTCTGGCTTCTGCAGACCCTGTTGGAGGTCCTCTTGTTGCCATGTTGGGGCCTCTTGGAGGCATCTTGGGCCGTCTTGAATCAGTACTCGGCCGCCTAGGGGCCATCTTGGGCCGTCTTCTAGGCATCTTGGGCCATTTGGTGGTGTCCTTGGTTGCCTTCGCGGGCCTTTTTGTAAGCTCGGAACGAATTTCCATGTTTTTGACGAGGGATCGTGGCTTGGGAGGCCCTGGAGGGCTTGGGGGCAGCGCCTGGGAATGCGGGAAATGCACGATCCTCGAGTGGGTGCGCGTGGGATGAGGGGTCTAGGAGTTAGCAGCCGCGCGGGAAGTGCACAATCCTCTAACGGGCGCGCATGGAATGATGGTTCAGGAATTAGCTGCTATGTGGGAAGTACACCATCCTCGAGCGTGCACGCCTGGACAGGGGCTTCAGGCATTAACTGCCATGCGGGAAGTACACAATCGTCGAGCGGGCGCGCATGGAATCAGAGTTCAGGCGTTCGTTGCCATGTGGGACGTGCACCATCCTCGAGCGGGCACGCGTGGAATGGGTCTTTAGGCATTCGCTGCCATGCTGAAAGTGCACCATCCCCGAGCGGGCACGAGGGAAGTGGCTTCGGAAAGGACGGGCGATGCATGTGGCAGTCTGCGGGCAGAGGGAGGGGGTCCCTTTTAGAAAACCCCTTCCAGACAGCCCTTGGCACTCTTCCACGCCTCAACATGCCAGGAGGCACGGTGGCAGAGCAGGGCTGCAGGCCGACGAGCCCGCAGGGTGCGGGCAGAACGGGGCCGTGCTGAGCAGCAGGAGCGATCGAGGAGCGATCGAGGAGCGATCGAGGGGCGCCCGCCCTGAGTTCCCCGCGCCTTCTCTCGCGTCGTCGTCGTCGTCGTCGTCGTCGTCGTCGTCGTCGTA